CAGCCTTCCCCTGGTCACCGGCCAGTTCCTCGAGGTAGACTTGAATGTAAGTAAGTCCTGTGCCTTTTCCTTCCATCTCTGTACAAGGGTTGGGACATTCCACTCGGGTCCGTGAAGGTCTCCTGGGGCCACATACACCTGAGCAGCTGGCCCTGAGGTCACTGTGAGAAGCTCGGTGAGGTCCCGGCTCGGTGCCCTGCTCTTGCTGCCGCCGCCGTCACGGGAGAGCGCAGCGGGGTTTGCATTTCATGAACTTCTGGAGAAGGAAGTGTCACGGGGCTGACTTGGCGTGGTCGTGCGTGCAGGGATTTCACACTGAGGGAACACGAAGTTGACCGTAAAAGCAAATATTGCAAACATTTTGGCCTCCACTTCCTTCCCCTGTAACTCCAGACTGTCGTCGGTCAAGTGGCAGGAGACCTGGTGGACCATCAGCTGGGAAAGCCAGGAACTGTCCCCACACCCCCACGTGTCCCCATGCCACCCCTGCCACCCATGGCGGACACCAGCTCCTCCCAGTTGGGCCTCTCTGTGAACTTCCTCAGCGCACTGCTGTCTGTCCTGCAGAAGGAGGGTAGCCTGGACCTGGACATCTCCAATGGCATGGTGAGCCTGGGTTTGGGGCTGTACAGGCTGGTCCCACCTGCGAAGCTTTAGCACCTCCATGCCCCTTGGCAGGGTCTCTGCTGTCCTGGGTGGAAAATGAGAGTGAGAGACCACGGGGTAAAAGCCTCATTAGTGGTGACAGCAGGTTCTACTGAAAACCACCATGCTCACGTGCAGCGTTTCTCTTTTCTCTGTCACAGTTTCCTGAGCTCCCACCACTTACGACATCGACCCTTGGAGCCCTGGTTCCTGAGGTCAGTCCTGGTTCCCACTTGCACCCCAAATAACCTGGTAAGAGAAGCAGCATCCGGAGGAGTGGGAACTCTCCCTGTCCCTTGCTCCTCAGAGGCACCATCCCAGATGTCCCCTGGGGGTAAACAAGCTCTGACTTAGACTAGAAACCGCAGAACAGAGCCGGGGTTGTCACGTCTGCAGCTCTCTTGGGTCACAGATCCAGGGCAGCCCTCAGCTGCCTTGTCTGCCTGGATGCAGGGCTGTCCATGCTCCTCCATCCGGGAAGAGATGCTCTTGGTGGGGCTCAGGGCATCCCCAGGGCCAAGCTGGTGGCCAGCTCGACTTCACTGCAGGCTGTGGAGGTACAGACCTGTTGGACTGGAGCAATTCAGGATCAGGCTGCAGTGTAGGCAGCTGCTCTGCGGTTCCTGGTCACAACACCATTTGTGTTCCTGTCAGCAGAAACTTTCCATTTTTGGATGTTGACAGGTTTTCAAGGCATATCCTGAACCCCATGAGCTGCTGCTGAAAATTGTTGTCCCTGAAGCACCGGTGGTGACCTTAAAGAAAAATAGAGGTGTGATCCAGCTCATGGCTACAGCAGAGGTGATGGTGCTCCACCCAGATGATGTCCAGAAGTCTCTCTGCCTTCTGAATATTGTATGTATGAGGGAACAGCCCACGCAGAAATTCCTCCTGCAGTGGGAGTGCTGGTAGATGGGACCTGCACCCTATGTGATGTGGCTGGGCCACAGGCTGGGCAAGGGCTGGAGGAGCCACCCCTGCCCTGATCTCTCTCTTTGACTGCAGGACACCTCCTTGCTGGCCCAGTTTTCAGTCGAGAACAACAAACTGAGGATCAGCGTCAGCCCGGAGAAGTAGGACACTGGTTTTAATTGGGGGGGTGGCCAGGGGTGGCCATAGACATGGGACCTCCCGGGCTGCGCAAAGATGTGGGCATTGCCAGGACTGGGTCATCAGAGGATGCCTGGGTTTTACTCACCTCTGCTTCCTCCTGCAGGGCTGTTCTCTCCTTGGTGTCTTCGTCCATCGGTGGTTTTGATGTAAGAACACGAGCAGCCTCAGCAACACGCCAAACCCATTGCAGAAAGCAAAGTGCTGATAGATGGGCTCAGGAGAAATAAGGGACAATTACGGTGCCACAGTTGTGTCATATTTTTAGTAGCACCTTTCTTTCACCTCTGGAGATGGATTTTTTTTCATGGATGATCCATGAGCAATCTTCAGAAAAAATCCTCAGTGAGAGGGAGAGGTTTGTGGCTCTTGGTGAACTGCAGGACTTCCCACACATGCCCATGACATCCCCTTGGGATGTGCCTGGAGACACTCACCCCTGCACCTCATGGGGGATGATGGCAAAAGTTGGGAGGAATTCTGGGCTCTCCTGTGCAGGTAGAGAACCTTTTGTTTCCAGAGGTGGTTACTGGAGGCAGATTTAATGCCAGCAGACCTGTGGAATGGCATTATTTTGGGACCAAAAATTGACCATAGAATGCTTAAAGTCCAATTTCTGTGAAATCAGGAGTTTGCATTAGATGAGTGTGGAGCTGGAGCACCAAGGGTTCAGGTTGGGTTTAGCTTGTGGGAGCAGAGCATCCCCGCATGCCCGAGGACAGGGTGAGGCCGGGCTGACAGGACCAGCGATGGCACTAAGTGACTCATCTCCTTTTGCAGAGCTCGCTCCTGGACATCTTTGTTGGCCAGACTTTCGATGTTGCCTTCCTGCCAGCATTGAACAGTAAGGAAACTCTTACTCCTCGTCTGTGTACTGGTGTATGCTGGCTGTAGGCTTCTCTGGGCAACCTGGGCCAGTGTCTCACTACCCTCTGGGTGAAAAATTTCCTCCCAATATCTGACCTAAGTCTCCCCCCTCTCCATTTAAAACCACTTCCCATTGTCCTGTCACTGCGTGCCCGTGGAAAAAGCCACTCTCCCTCCTGTTTCTAAGCTCCCTTCAAGTACAAGTGACTGTGTTTTGTGGAAGCACTAAGTCCCACAACACAAAGCCTTTCTGGAAAGCCCTGCACATGTGGAGGGAGGGGTTTGCATGTGGGAAGGATGGAGTTGAGGACCAGACCCTGGTTTGTGAGCTGGTTTGTGACCCGCAGGCGTGCTGGGAGCGGGGGTTCCCCTCCCCAGGCTGCTGAACACCGACTTCACCAACGCAGACATCGATGTCTTCCAAGTAAGTGCCCAGGCCATGCCCTGAGGTTCCCTCACCGGCACCTCGGCTCCACTCAGCAGCACTGGCAGTGCCCGTGGCTTGTGTGGAGGCTGTTCAGAGCGGGAGGGAACCCCTTTGCTTCACCAGGACCTCATCGTGCTGTCGGCCTGAGCCCAGGACACTGCGCTGGGAGGGGACCCCCGGTTTTCCCTGGCCACCCCAGAGGGATGGGAGCCCAACCTGCCCCAAGGATCCTCCACCGCGTTTCTCTTTGTGCCAAACCCAGTAAAACACCAGCTCGGTCTCCTCCTTGTAAATGTTGCATCCCACCTGCCTTGCTTGGAACAAGGAGCCCAGGTGGTTTTTGTCTCCGAATGTCGTGTTTTGGACTCTTTTGTGGATGCTCGGAAGGACGTGGGTGTATTTTGTATTCTCGTGCTCAGGTTTAATAAAGTCCAACCCTCTCTGCAGCAGCAGTGGGTGCTTGAACCGGCGGGGGGGGGCCCGGGGGCGACTCAGGACAGATCCCACTGTGCTGGGGACCCTGGACTGCGGTGGGTGGTGGGGCTGCAGCCCCCTGCCTGGGTGTCCAGCCCCAGCTGTGCCCACTGCCACCCAGCTCAGCGTGGGCACAGAGCCATCTGCCAGCAAACGCTGGTCTGGACCCAGAGCTGTGAGGTCTCCTGGTTATCTTGAGGACCCCTCGTGCCATCACTTGCCCTGGGCTTTACTGGGGCAGTGACAGCCACATGTACCATGGCCTGTGTCCCTGCCGTGGCCACAGCCAGTATCTCTGCCATGGTCACAGTCCCTGTCCCTGCCATGGCCATGTCCAGCCATGCTGGACCATGTGCAAGGAGCTGCGTGGTGCTGGGCTGGGTGGGTCCTGACCAGAACATTCACTGCCTGAGGACGTGAGCCCCTGCCCCAGCACCCGGGGCTGTGGGGGACCACCTTGCTGGACCCTTGGACCCAGTGCTGCTGTCCTGAAGGTCTGAGGCAACAGGAGGGGACAATCCCTGAGGAGCTGGGTGGCAGCATGTCCCATCCAGGCAGCAGAGCTGGTGGGCACCTCACCCAGCCCGGGGGAATGGGATGAGCACCAGGCTCCACGGGTGCTGCTGGCCACGCTCCAGCAGTGCTGGGTTCACACCTGACAGCCAGCGAGGAGGAACTATTCCTGCTTCATCCTTCCCTGGACTTTCCCTGTTCCTGCACTTCGGGTATATAAGAGCTGCTGCCGCGGAGAGGCCGTGGGCAGCGGCGCCGCCACATCAAAGGGCTCCAGGTAAGCGGCGTTAAGGCACCGTGGCCACGGGGCTCCTGTTCCCACTAACTGACCTCCAGCAAAGTGTAACTCATCTTTAAAAGTGAGAATTTGAACGATGTTTTCCTTTGATTTCTGTAGCAGCATTTAATCATTTATGAAAATTAATTTTTAAAGCTAGCAGTGCTCTTGCTTGTCAAATTCCGCGTTTATTTTTGTTGTTGTTGAGTTTGTTACAATGACCAGGCTGGCAGAAATGACCAGGATTTTTTTTCATGATCTTGGTGACCAGAATTCAGAATGATTTTCGGCTTATCAGGTCTTGTCTCAGCTGATATAAAATAAGTGTTTCTCTGCAAAGCCATACATGAGTTTTGCACATAATAGGTGTTCAGCTAATTTAAATGTGTGTGACCAAGGTGGTACCAGCCCAATAGGTATCATTCATGTCTCCAGAGATGGTTGTCTACTTTGTCACGTATTGTCTCTAAGAGCTCTTCTAAAAGACCTGAAACCCCTTTTGGCATCCTTTCACAATGCTACGCACGTCTTGCAGAGACCCTCCAACAAATCCCACTGATTTTATTTGACACGATTTCCAACAGGAGCTGCTCAAGCCTCTGTCTTTCTCTCCTGTTCAATAATCACAGCTCCAGGAGCTGCGCGTCGCTACATGCTGATCAAAGGGAAAGTGGGAAAGACAGTCTGGTGAATTAAAGTCTGATTTAATTGTGCCAAGAACTGTCAGAGAGGAATTTTTTTTTTTTTTTTTTTGAAGTATGTGGAACAGATAAAGAAGTTGTTCAGTCTGACCTAAATAATGTTATTTCTCAGTGCTGAACCTCACATCTGCAGCCTGTACATGGTTTTCCTCGGAAGACACGAGCTGGGGTGTCCTGCCCAGGACATGGGCTGTGCGGGCGGGTGCTCCCTTAAACTGGGACCTACTGTGGAGCTTCAGTGGGTGCCTTCTGCATTTCTTTGCAAATACCTTCCTGTGCATAAACAAACACTCCACAGTGTTGGTTGCAAGCCCAAGAAGTCCAGCTCATGTGGGAACAGGAGGTCCTTGAAGGTGCTTTCTTTTGACCTGAGGCAGATCAAGTGCAGGGAAAGTTGGTTCTTTTCACAGCCTGAATGCAGCAAGATGAGAAAAACAAACAATCTGCCCACGGGAAAGTGAGTCTGGTTTTGGCTGCACTTTGAGCTTTAATAACACGAGGTGTTCTCCATAATGGGGAGGAGGACACGACATTGACACACCACTTTTTATCTGCCTGTGCCCTTTTGAGTGTTCTTCTTCCAGGGCCATTTTGGAGCAGTTGGAAGCCATCTGTCTCGCTCGGTACAAGGTCCTCCTGCCTCACCTCCATCCCTCTTGCTCTCTTTAAAATGTCATTTTCTCCTTCCAAGCTTCCCTGCCGTGACAGGCACCCAGCTCTGCAGCGGGGTAGCCCAGCCGGGCATCGAGACATCCATGACTCTGGAGGAGCACATCCTCGTCCTCCAGTTGCTCCCTGATAACCAGAAGCAGTTTGACCTTTCTGGGTGGGAAAAGGGTGCTGTAGGTCCGTGCTGGTCCCTTGGGGCTGGGGGACACTCCCTGGGGCTGTGTGTCCAGGGAGGACCTGCCCCACCACTGTGGGGTGGTGCATGTGAAGGACAGGGAGTCAGACTGGTGTCCAGGCTGCCAATTCCCACGTGGTGGAGCTGGTGTTTGGCTGATGTGGGTCTCTCCGCAGGTGCTGGGACCAGAGATGCTGCCTTTCTGGTGTCTCATCCTCCTTGGGGGCCTCCTGCCCCCTTCCCAGGGTCTTCTCAGCCTGGGCAGTCTCCTTGGCCTGAGCCCAGCACAACCCAAAGGTGAGCTTAGAGTTTTTCCACGTTTCCCCTGGGAACATCATAGCACAGGCCACGGTGCACCCACCTCAGTCCCAGTGTGTCCTGTGGCACGTCAGGTTCCAGGTCATGGAGTGTCCCTCTGCTTATCAGGGACCTGCCTCCTGGCAGACTTGTCTCCATGGGGAACCCAACTTTGTGCAAGGATGCTCAGGGGTCCTCATGAGACATCTTGGGCAGATGAACCTAATGTAGCTGAACCAACCTTTCTTGTCAATGAAATCTTTCCAGTGGTGGAATTCTGATTAGTAACTGGGACTTCCTTGGTGTAGGTCTGCTTGGTACTGGTCTTCTCGGCAGCCAAGGTCTCACCAGCGGAAAAAGTGGATTGCTTGGCACGGGCCTTCTTGGGGAAGGTGGGCTCCTTGGTACCGGCCTCCTTGGCAGCGAAAGTCCAAGTGCAGAAGAAAGTGGAGGTCCCCTTGATGGAGGAAATGAATCCAGTAGATCTGGAGTCCTTGGCACAGGCCTTCTAGGTGAGGAACATCTGCTTGGTATGGGTGCACTTGGGAGAGGAGAATTTCTTGGTAACAAAAATCAGAACAGTTATGGAGGTGTGACTCTTGCAGGAGGACAGCCCAGCAGCAGTGGTCTGCTCGGCACCGGCATCCTTGGTGGGAAAGCTCTTGGCAATGGCCTCCTTGGCAACAGCCTTCTTGGCAATAAAAGTCTTCTTGGAGAGAAAGGTCTGCTCGGCACAGGCATCCTTGGCGGGGAAGGTCTTGGTAATGGTCTCCTTGGAAATGACCTCCTTGGCAATACAAATCTTCTTGGAGAGAAAGGTCTGCTCGGCACAGGCATCCTTGGTGGGGAAGGTCTTGGTAATGGTCTCCTTGGAAATGACCTCCTTGGCAATACAAATCTTCTTGGAGAGAAAGGTCTGCTCGGCACAGGCATCCTTGGCGGGGAAGGTCTTGGTAATGGCCTCCTCGGCAGCGGCCTCCTTGGCAATACAAGTCTTCTTGGAGAGACAGGTCTGCTTGGCACAGGGCTGCTTGGAAAAGAAGGTCTCCTAGGCAAAGGAAGTCTAGTTGGTCTTGATGGTCTTCTGGGTGAAGGACTGCTTGGTGGAGGACTGCTTGGTGCAGGAGGACTGCTTGGTGGAGGACTGCTTGGTGGAGGAGGACTACTGGGTGGAGTCCCTGGCAAGTCAACACCCTTTCCCTGGTAAGTCAAAGTGGGAGCACAGTGGTGCTGGTTACTGGGGGGTAAGAAATGATGTCCAGAGGAAGGGTTCCCCTAAAGGGCTGCTCCAGGGGACCAGATCCTTCCTGTTACAGAAACCATCAGTCCCAGGCCTGCTTTGGTGTCAACCCCCAGGTTGAAGGTGCTGAACCTCGAGAATGTCCGAGTGTCATGGAAGGTCCTTCGTGGGGGTGAGCTGGTGCTGAACCTGTACTCGAGGCTGGTGCTGCGCTTTCCAGGGTGAGAGGGGCTGGTGGACGAGACAGTGGAGCGAGGCCATGGGGACCTGAGGGTGCTGGGGAGGATGGGACGTTCCCAGGTGCTGGAGAAACATCCCCAAACACTGAGCAAGGGGCTGGTGAGGAAAGCTCTGCAGCAAAGTCCCTGGGGACTGTTCCAGCTGTCCCATGAAGTCAGAACTGTCCTGGAACCCCCCCGGTGCCTGTTTGCACACTGGGATGTGGGTGATGATCCTCTAACAGGACCAGGAGCCTGATGGAAGTCCTGAGATTAAAACATTGTCCCACTGAGGCCAAGCTTGCAGCTCAACCACAGACTCTGCCCTTCCATGCTGCTTTGGTCTCCTCCATAACCCTCCAAACCACAACAGCCACCTCCTTGTTTTTCAGAATTTTTTACTTTCTGAGCGGATCCTCAGTAGAAACGAACATCACGTCACACGTCGCCCTGACCCAGGACACCCCCGGTGACCTCAAGTTAGTGATTAAGGATTGCAGCAACATGCTGGGCGGCTTCAACGTCAACCTGCGGAAGGGGTGAGTGTGGGAGCGTTCACCACCCCGAGCTCGTGGCCTCAGAG